CCCCGGAACCGGACTAAATTTTTTCCCCTTTTCCCCCGGGTTTTAACCCCCTGGGGGAAAAGTTTTTTGCCCCCCCCCCCCCCCCCCCCCGAGTTACTCTTGTCGTGTCCTAATGATGCAAATGCAACGTCAGAAACTCAGAGTACTCAAGTACTTTTCTTATCAGTTTGTTCGGAAAATGATTGGTTCATTGGCCTTTGTGGTTGGCCTAATCTAGATGAGACTGAAAACAATCACGGTATATTGATATCACACGCGATATCAATCGTGTCCAAATTAGGATAGAAGATTGAATTGTAAGTCCAAATCGTTATTGCCCTTTTTCTTACTAGAGATAGATAATGTAGGGCCTATGTTTGTTAAAATCATAACCATGAAATAGTCGTCGTTATGCTTAGAAATCAGGGAAACTTTTAAAAAGACATCAACAAAGTATAAAATCTATGGGTGCTTTCCCAGAGATTAAGATCGATCTAAAGATTAAGATTTAGATCGACCTAACTCCCTGGGGGTTCACGCCAAATTGCAGTCAGCCGAGCGGGCACCATAGTTAATTACCCCCTTACAGCTTTTAGTAGGCGGGACAGACGCTTAAGCCGGCCAAGCTGACAGTAATCTAGTGAGACTCCCCACAGGGATAGATCGATCTAAAAATCTATGGAAATGGGGTGTATGACGCGAAGATTTGAATCTGATGAAGTGTTTAATGGAATTCAATGGGTGATGGACTCATTCTTGTTTTTTTTTCAAAGAAAAATTAATCATACCAAATTTTGAATCATCGCAGACCTTTTTTTCCGATAGAAATATTCTGCTAATATTAACAGCGATCTACTTGTATGTATCTCGTGGGTGTGTCCTTTGTGTTCTGCTTTTTGGTTGTGTAAAAATATCATCATTTTTTTTATTTTATTTTATTTTAGTTTAGTTTATTTTATCCTATTTTATTTTATTTTGCCTAATCCTATTTCATTTTATTTTATTTTTGTAATTTCACTTATTATCGTTCATTTCATCGTTATCCCCTCCAAGACTTGTGATGAATACTTGGTGTCAATTTAAATACTACTTTCAGTTAGCGAGGAGCTGTGACTGGTAATGCCATCATACGGGACATTAATATCCGGGAGCTAATCAACACAAGGTGATCCAGGGATAAAACCCGGGGCTGGGATAAGCCACGAAAAAACGAATGGAAAATTGGTTTTAACGTTTAGGCTTAAGTTTAGGATGGATTCGCCTTAATCCACTTCAGTGTAGTAAGTATTAATCTCTCAAATATTAACCTTGTTCTTTCTTGTTATTAAACAGGTGCGATATTTCATTTAGTTAAACTACTAGTACCATGTGTTATCGTTTTATCTTGGGTCAATGTAGACTAAGGGACCATTCCCAGACCCTATCGTACTAACTTTGGATTGATCTATCTCCTAGGGGATTCTCGCTAAATTGCAATCATCTTAAGCGGCTTAGATGTCTCTCACGCCGACTGAGCTGATAGGAGGTAATTAACTATTGTTTAGCAGAATTAGTAGGCATGTTAGACATCTAAGCCGCTTAAGCTGAAAGCAATTTAGCGTGAAACCCCTTGGAGATGGATCGATCCTATGAGATCGATCTGGGTATGGGAACCCAGTCAAAATATTGGTCTAAGAGTTTGATTCCAGCCTCCAGCGCTCTGTCCCTCCCTCGTCCCGTCTCTCTCTCTCTCTCTCACACACACACACACACACACACACACACACACTTCTCTCTCTCTCTCTCTCTCTCTCTCACACACACACACACACAGTGACAAGCATATGCACTTGATATTTTTCCTAATCACATCACATGTGCACTTGTTGTGAGTGCGTATCTATTTGTCCTATCTTTGTTTACTGATCTACATAGCAAAATATTTGAATCGCAATCAGCTGACTTATTAAACCTTATTTTGGGCTCTATCAAAAAAATTTTCTTACATGAGCTGCCAACTTGGTAAGAAGCCATTTGGCAGATAACTGTGTCATTGAACCTTTGAATTAATCATGCGGCATCAATATTTATGGCTGAATCATTTCCCTTGATTTAGGCCTTCCACGTATCTAGGGAATGGCAGGTTTCATTCTTGATCTTGTTCTTTGGTATATTTTTGTATACTGTTCGGCAAGTCGTTCGCAATCAAATGCAAATAAGAATGAATAAGTTGCCCTTTTTCTGTAAGCAATATTCCCTGACATTTTTTTTCTACCAATACTCCCGATCGCATTTATGATTATCTAACATTTTTGCTTGGTATTTCAAACAATCAGTATTTTACTTTCAATTGTGTGGTGATTCTTAGAGTGATTCCTAGAGCCAGCATGCGAAGTCTTGTTAAAGCTTTTCTGTAATTAGTTAAAAGGTTGTATGACGTCACATGGGCATATGACGTCATACTTTTCGTATTTACGCTTATATAAAATATCCTAAAGCAGGTACACTGTACAAATATTGCACTGTCAGTCATCAGAGTGACCTCGCATTGTTAAAGCAGATTGACTTAATTCAACCTTTAGTATATGTGTACTGATGCAGTTTGAACAAACATATGTTTTTTTCATTCTTTACTTCACATATGGAGATAATACGAGAGACCAAATCTTCCTTTCATGTATCCTTAATCCAAGGGTCAGCGCCATTTTTATCTTTCTGATCGATGGAGCACGTGTTCGCCTTTATTGTGTTTAGGTACAGTAGCTTCTGAGAAGTGATGTTCAGGATGTTTTTAGGGGAGAAAAGGAGGAGAGGCGCCAGTTATTGTTTTAAAAGGAATAAAACGCCAAATGCAACAAATTCCCCCGGGAGATAATTATCTCGCTACAAACGATCTATAATTTGCAATCAGCCACTATTTATACAGCTATATATATTGATACCACTAATAATGTGCCCGTTGCGATATACGTACACTCTTTTTATTCGTTTTTTCGGTGAAATGCCCTCACTTACTTTCGGTATGTACACATTCTATGTTTGTCAAATTATACCTGCCACCCTCTGGCGATATATGCCTTGAACGCCTTGCTGACGCTTGAGGTGTTTTGACATACCGTGTATCATTTTGGCGACTGTGTATTATCTCACACATAATTCGACTCTATTTGTATGATTTCATTAATAATTGTTTTATAATAATGGGAATTCAATTTCCTTGCCGGAGGCCTGCGATCTCTGAGTGCTTGACAAGATTGCGGTGTTTTTCGTATTTTTTGTTTTTGCAAATATCGTATTAGAGTGTTTTTTCTCCTTTTTTTTTTGTCTTGTATGGAAGTTCTTGGAGGCATCGATCATCTAAATTACCTTTTCTCTATCAATTTCCTCTGATAACTTAGGCGCGGTAGCAAATTGGATTTGCCAAAGGCGCACAATGAGCCTCCGACCCTTAAATTGCAAAAATGTAACTTTCTTTGAAATGTCAATATATTTTCCCCGTAATCACTACGGTTTACCATTGAGAAAATCTTTAAGCCCGTTGTCAATTTTAAGTATATAATTTTTCAGCCACTCTTTGTACTGGGGATGGTGATTGGTGTATTATTGTCTTCAATTCAAAAAAAGAAAAATTGAGTTGGGATTTGCCATAGTGATAAAGGAAACTTGCTGTTTTTCTAAGAAAACTTATTTTTTGGTATAATTATTTGGTACGTAAAAGTATATCGCTTATTGTATGGCTTGAAGATTATATATTATACATCAGCCAAATAGTAACTTAGTCATTGGTTACTTTTAGGTCTTTTAAGAATATCATCATTTGCCTGTTATTAAACTTGGGCGAATGAAACGTTTTGTTTGCCTTAGTATCGAGTGGTAATAATATGGAATAATACAATGATTTCCTCTCCATCTACTGAATACAATAATGTGTTTCTGAATGAATAGATAAATAAACAGATAGAAGATCTCTATGTAAATAAATAAACAGATGTAAAAGATAGGTGCACTAATAAATACATACTTGAATAATCCAGTAAATTGATAAATATTTAATTAATAAAAGATAAAAAACACTTGAAGAAATTGATAAAAACAAATTCCTCTCAATCAAAAAAAAAAAGAATTATCATGCAAAAAATAGTTGTTTACAACTCTCTTATCTATAATGAGCATAATTTTCCCTAAGTCACCCCACGAGTTCATTTGTGACCGCCATGTTCTTATTCTCTTAACCATGTCATAGCTGTTTGTAATCAACATCCGATCTCTTTGTTCTCATGCGCTGTTGACTTAACAGACACTACTAAACTTTCTTTCGCGCCAGAACACGTATTCTTCGCCAATCCTCAAATATCAGCGGCATTTTTCGTTTCGGGTCGTACGTTGCTTATGTTTACCGGTTACGAGAACTCTTCCACTCGGGATTGAGTTTCACGATAATCTGCTACACCAGAAATGCGTTAATCTTGAATCATAGGCGAGGAGGGAAGGTAAGATTTAATTGATGTTGGTTGATTGTAGATTTTCTTTTCTAAATACTACTAAATGTGTTTTATACCAGGTGTATATTGATTGTAAGAAGCCACATTAGGTTGCTTCAGACTAAGATCTAATATCCGTTTATTAGATCTTAGCTTCAGATAAATATAAAGCTATAAATGTTCGCAGCATCATTTCCAGGCAATCCTGTTGAGGTGAAAGTGAATTCTTTTTAATACCTTACCGTTATGTTTTCTTTCACAAAAGAAAAATTTACTCGTCAACCTAACGACGAAGTTGTACCGCTTTCTAGGTGCTTATATGATAGCTATAATTATGCTGACTTATTCTATTTCTTTCGGCGCGCGTCGCATTTTTGTTTTAAAATTAGTTTGCAAAATGATTAAGATTCTGCGGAGCATGATATAAACGTTTCTTTCTTTGCAAAAATGGAATAGTAAAAAACGGTAGCTTTATTATAATGCCGGACGGTGGACAATGTTTTTTAAAGCTAAGGAGTGGGGGAGGGGGGGGGGGGGGGCAAGCCACCCGCCACCTTTGGTCCGCCATGTCAGGTCTGTGTAAGGCTGAAGCGCGGGGGTTCTGTTTTTCATATTCTGTACGCTTCTATACGCTCGGGTGAGGGCAGCCGCTAAGATATTATTTTTCCATTTGGGAACATTCACAGGTCGGGGTGAAGTATCAGAAGTACGGATGCCCATCCTTGACTTGTAGAACACACACATAAAGTTTGTAGACATGTGTAGAAAACAGAAAACATGGAAGATTATGCTTACTTCCTCTTAGTTTGCCTTTGAGTGTACCGACCAGTTGGCTGTACAAAATCACTCACCTCATCTTTCTACCTGGCTCTACACATCTTCCCCAATGATAATTAATTTTCAGAAAAAAATTGAACATTTTGAAATTTATTTTGCCAGTGTAGGAAACTCTCTCTCTCTCTCTCTCTCTCTCTCTCTCATACCGTACAGGCAACGTGAACATGATCTACGATTTCTGTTCATTTTAATAACGCACCTGGACTTGTTTATGTCTCAGAATAGCGTTATTAACATTTAAGATGTTACTCTAAACGCCTATTAACATTTGACTTTAAGTGACACTCGGAAACGAAAGAAATGTTGATATCTCCTGGTAAATAGTCCAGAGAGAGAGAGAGAGAGTTAAAAGGGAGGGCAGGGGGATACACTACTAAACTTTCTTTCGCAGGAGAAAATGAAGGGGAGGGAAAGAGATAGAAAAGGGGGAGAGAGAGAGTGAGGGAGGGAAGGGTGAAAGCAGAGAGAAAGAGAGAGAGAGAGAGAGAGAGAGAGAGAGAGAGAGAGAGAGGGGGCGGAGGTTACAATTTAAAGAACGCTACACATATTTCGGTTGCAAGAGAAAACAGTGCAAGAGTAGTTCAAATGTGCACATAAATGTTTGTGTAGTGACATACCGTACATTTATTTATAAATCTGTCACATTAAGGTTTTGAGGAGGCAATCCTTGTTCATTAATTTCTAAACTCAGTAAATGAGTTTTGGTAATGGGTAAACGTGAACACACATACTTTTCAGCATTATCATCAGGTTTTATTTCGTTCTTAGAATCTGTTCCAATTTCACTTCGACGGAAACGCAACGAGCAAGAAGGCCATCGACTTAGATTGGGGGGGGGGGGTATGATTCTCTTTGTATAATATAATTCCTCAGTCGCATAGGAAGCGCATTTTTAAATTTGGGGTTGGGGTGGGTGGTACATGTAGTCATTAAAGATGTAAATCTAATGTCAACAACAGTGTAAAGCTAGCGGTAAAAAATATGTGATAAAAGATGGTCATATGTTTGTTACCTCGACCCGGGCTTATGAGCAGCCACGTAAAAGCATGCATCTTGAGTCAATTGGATTTATCTGTGGCACTGATGGTGAATGAAATTACATGAAAATAACCCATTGCCTCTGCGTTCTGTGATTATGAGTAACGAGGTTGAAAAAATTGTGCGTATGTTTGTGTGTGTGTGGGGGGGGGGGGGGGTAAGGGGGGTGGCTAAGGGCACGTTAACAACCAAATATGGCGAGCACTTGGCAATGGATTCAAACCCACCCCCCACGCTCGACGTCCCAGCAGGGACAGAGCAATCTAATCTCTACATGTTTTCAAGTGGGTCGCGCCATATTTGTTCAAGTCCGCAGATCAACTGGTCGTGAACACGGCCGGTTTGCCCCTGGTCTCTCTCTTTTACGCCTGTGAACCGCAAGACTATGACTGGGTTCCCATACCTAGATCGATCTAACAGGATCGATCCATATCCGAGGACATTTTTTTCGCTAAATTGCTTTCAGCTTAAGCGGCTTAGATGTCTAGCACGCCTACTGAAGCTGCTAAACGTTAGTTAATTACCCCCCTAGCAGCTTAAGTAGGCGTGACGAACATCTAAGCCGCTTAAGTCGATTGCAATTTAGCGAGAATCCCCTAGGAGATAGATTGATCCACAGTTAGTACGATAGGGTCTGGAAATGGTCCTTATGATACAAATGAGACACACCTTCACCTCTTGTTGAAAGTTCTATAACAGGTATTATATACAAGTGTATGCTTTAGTGTATTCTGTTTATTCAAATTAAACCAAATAATACTTTCACAACGTTTAATCTACTGTTAATGTTTAGTCTGCTTAATGAAAAATGTTGAAGTTTGTAAGTGAGATGTATACAATATTTCTATTTATGCTCTTTAATAAACAGAGGGTATATAATGTTTATTATATTATTTATTTATGTTATTTTTCTTCTGTTCGAATTCACAATCAATATTTTTATCAAACATTGATGGATTGGGGGGAGATCACAGCGGTCACGTGACACTTTCTTGACTTATCGGATATCTCTTTCTCTCACATGTCCCTTGCATGATGAAATTTACCCAGCATTTTTCCACCCCAAGTGCCTTAAAAACAAAAAAACAAAAAAAAAAAAAAAAAAACTTGAAGTTTGCCGCAAATTTGTTGCAAACTAATTTATAAACAATTTGCAGATTGTCCCAAGAACAGTTGCTGCAAATTCGCTAGAAGGTTAAAAGTTTGCAGGACGTTTGCTTGAAAGTCTTCAGAACTAATTTTCATGGTAAAACTTCTTGTTGCAAAAAAGTCCTAAAGATATGCCTTGTGGATATAAACTTTTTATTTTTATTTTTGCAGGTGATGGTGAACTGTGCCTTGTATATTCGAAAACAAAGGAAATATAAGAAACATATCAAGATCAACTTCTTTGGTCTGGAGTCACGTGACCACTTACGGCTCAACAGAAAAATAACCACAAATTTACGTTGCCTAGGAAACTACCACCGAATCTGTGGACAATGCATCACTTGAATGCTTACTGAAAACCAACGTATTTTCATACAAAATGTAATATTAGAGAAACAAAAGACCCTTGACTTACCCGAATTGAAACAGGGGTGACATTTATGCAGAGCAGTCCAATGAAAAAGTTGCAGCTATCACATTATTGGATTCCACTGAAGAAGGAAGTTGCACAAAAATATTTCTTTGTGGAAAAACGCAATTGGTCGTTAGAAAGTTCCAGTATTATAATAAGGAAGGCTGACAGTCAGTGTCGTTCAAAAGAATAACGCAACCGGTGTAGGAACAGTGGATAAAACGAAATTGGAGGAAGCCTTGCCGAAACTGTCATTTTGTTCCCAAACCGATCACTTATGCAAAGTTTGCAAATACAGAAGACGCTCGCTCTTAAATGTAAGAGCGAGAGACAGTAGACTTAAAGGGAACATTGTGCGCTACATTTCAGTGACAATAATTGCAAGAGATTTTTGGAAATATTCTGCGGACGTTTTTCTAATCTTGGAAACTATTGAATGATCACTAATGATCATGTTCACGATTTTGCCTTGGTAAAATACCTCTGCACTGTTCAGCACGCTTTATTTAATCAAGGATATTCAACGAAAGTACTGACTCTTGTAGAAATGTTGAAGTTGGCCTCGGAAACTAATGGCACCGAGTCAGGCATGGAGGACGCGTGGCTCACTCTATCGGTGGAAGGTGAACCTAAAAGCCTGGAGGAGGACGCTCTCGAGCAGTCGACGTTTAACGAAGACTTGTGGCACAATTTATTAGACCAACTGAGTAAGGCGGAGATGTGTCGAATTAATTTTGAAGTTGAGCCTTATCCACCGACTGGTAAGTTGTTTTCCCCGCTTTATGTTTTCAAGCCATATTTCATTCATATATTTTCAAGACTGCGTGCGCAAACGCAAATGAATAAACTAAACCGAATCGACAATTCCAATATGATAAATGATCCCGCTGTACTTAGTAAAAAATAGAGTTTCATTAAGTCTACAATCTCCATAGACTTTGGATATAAAGCAACCCAGACGAAAAAAAAGCAGTTAGCCTAAAGCAGCCACATTAAAAAAAATACGCGAAATAAGCGTGCTAAGGGTCCCTTTCCTCTTCCAATTAAAAGGGTAAAATTAAACATTGATACAGTTTTATGTTTATGTGCTTTGCTAAACTATTTATGGGTGGAAAGTGCAACATCTTTGGTACAGCTTAAGGCAAATTTATTGCAAATTAAACGATGGGTTAGTCTTTACAGAGTCCACTTTTAGCGTAACTTTGCATCTGCAATTTTAAATATGTTTTTCGATTTCAAATCGTAAATTCCCCAGTAGCTGTTTTAAATGGGCATTACCGCGCTTGATTACACTTCCTTTAATTTGGTGCTTTTGGTGGTTTAGCACTCAAAAGGCAGTATGAAATTTCCACTTTCTCTGAAATCCCCCTCTTGCACCGTAGATTGAATATGGCGTGACGCAATTTGCTTAGGTTTACAATTATCATGTGATGTCGCAAAAGTGTTTTAATTTAGTTGCGTAAACACGGTGATCAATTTACCGTCATGTTCAATTTAAAGGTCAGATGCAGGCATTTTTCTTCTAGTAGCACAGAGATTTACTTGGAATTCACGGGCAATTATAGGAAAAAATGTGAATTGGCACGACGAGAAGTAGATATGATCGCGCTGTTTCACGTAATCTGTAGTGAAACAATATACCATATAATTACAGAATTTAACTGAGACACAGCGAGGTTAATATCCCTTTTCTGAAGTCTATAGTACATTTTGACCGAAACACTTTAATTTTTTTCTGTATAATTTAATATATAAATGTTAACGTCCTCCAAGATAACATGCAACACTGCGTTATCCTATGGATTTGTCTTCTGGTAAAAAAAATATGGGCAGCAATTAATTGTCTCCTTCTCTCCTATAAGTTCCATCATACCTCAAATTTACGAAATACAAGATCATAATCTATGCTTATTATAAAATATAATGTGTTATCATCTCATACACAATTAATCTGGTCGTTTTCACTCGAGGCTGAGCGACGTTTTTGTGGAAAAAGTTTACACCCTGATGCAGGCACATCAGTGACTTGGTTTTCTTGCCGTCTTTGTTGGCTGTCCTGTAAGTTCTGTACTCTCTGCCCAGGGGGTGCACTAGTAGTCTGTAATAAAATCATTGTACTTTAATTTTGTATACTATTTTAGATACCCCTGATATCAGATGATAGGCGCTCTGGATAAGAGTACCTTTTACAGAAAAGCGCAAATCCGCGTTCTAGTGTTTTGACAATGTTTGGCAACATGCATTAGTTGTAAGCTGTAGTACAGTAGAGGTTTGAGGATGGGGGATACACAAAGAGTAACGAACATAGTTTGGAGGTACATTCTTGAAAGACTCTCCTTGGATATAACTTCATGAGAAGTGCTATTTTTCAAAGAAGTGAAAAAGAGAGCTATACATATACAAAGGCCTATACATGTACAAGCAGTAAATCTAGACAAAATAATCTACTTAGTCCAATGTCTTTATTTTGTGAATTGTTTCCTCTTTTACTCCATCGGTCTTCCTCTTTCTTTTACGCTCTCCATTAGCTCTCTCTCTCTCTCTCTCTCTCTCTCTCTCTCTCTCTCTCTCACACACACACACACACTCACTCTCTCTCTTTCTCTCTCTCTCTCACTCACTCACACACACACACACTCTACCTCTCTCTCTCTCTCTCTCTCTCTCTCTCTCTCTCTCTCTCTCTCACACACACACACACACCTTTCCTTTCTCTCACCTGCATGTACATTTACCTATCCAAGCACACACACACATCTCTCTCTCTCTCTCTCTCTCTCTCTCTCTCTCTCTCTCTCTCTCTCTCTCTCTCAGTCTTCCTCCATTTTCCAGACAATGGTCAGGTGTACTGTAACAGGAGCTGGAATGGCGCCACCTGCTGGCCCACAACCCTGGCCGGCCACTGGGCCACCGCCTTCTGTCCGCCCGAAGTGGAGGGAGTTTCGCTGGACGTTACACGTAAGTTTACGACAATGACCACGTTCAGATTCAAACATCGCACCAGCTGGATCGATCCAACTCTGCGGGGGATTTTTGTCAAAGTGCATTCAGTGTCATTAGCTTAATTGTCTGACAAGCCTACCTGAGCAGCTTGTTAATTAGTTAATTACCCCTTGGAACTCGAGGAGGCGTGTCACACATTTAAATCGTTTACAGTGATTGCACTTAGGGTGCTTTCCCAGAGATTTAGATCGATCTAAAGATTAAGTTCTAGATCGACCTAACTTCCCGGGGGTTCACGCTAAATTGCAGTCAGCCGAGCGGACACCATAGTTAATTACCACCTTACAGCGTTTAGTAGGCTGGACAGACGCTTAAGCCGGCCAAGCTGACAGTAATCTAGTGAGACTCCCCACAGGGATAGATCGATCTAAAAATCTATGAAAATGGGGTGTTACACCCCATTTCCATAGATTAGATCGACCTACTTTAGATCGACCTAACTCGCTGGGGGTTCACGCTAAATAGCTGTCAGCCGGGCGGACACGAAAGTTAATTACCCCCTTACAGCTTGTAATAGGCGGGACGGACATTTAAGTCGGATTATCTGAAAGTAATCTGGTGAGACTCCCCGCGGGGATAGATCGATCTAAAATCTATGGGAATAGAGCCTTAGAGAGGTGGATCAAATCAGCTAGTGCGATGGGTTTATCTGAACGCTCCTAATCACTCATTAAATTCGAATACAATTATATAGATTATATTTCTTCAAACAATGCTTTATTAACAACACAAAACCAAATTGATAGAAAATTAAATTTTAAATCCAAGTGAGTTGATAGTAGAAACACGCGATGACGAGGACAGAACTGAAGATTTACCTTGTGAAAAATGACAACAACGTCTTATTTAAGGCATGGAAAGGCATATTTCCCTTGTGCAAAATTATTTAAAGTATTTAGGTAAAACAGAGCCTCGGTTCTATGAAGGGCCCTTAATTTTTCACTAATTCCATAACATGCAAACGAGGCTACTGCATCGCTGTAGATAACTAGCAACAGGTTATGTCCAGCGCTATCATAGAGAAGGAGGAGGGGATTTTATTTTACTCTTTAAAGTGTGGGGCTCTATTAAAACAAGTGTGCCTATTTTAGAAGGGGATTTTATTTACACTAGTGTAAAAGGGTGGCTGAGGCTATGATAAAACAGGGACGTGTAGTTTAGTAGGATATATTATAATGTGCAATATGATGTTTTTTTATGTTTAATTTTAGAAAATGCGACAAGATACTGTCATCCCAATGGAATGTGGAATGAAAAGTCTAACTACGACAACTGCACTCTGTTATCACACGTTGGAATAGAGAATTTAGAGGTAAATTTAATCTTTAAGATGTAAAGATAATCTTGATTTGTTGTATTATCGAAAAAAGACAAATTTACAAAAGTATGTTTCTCCAGAATGAATATATATGTATATTATTTTTTAAATGATTAATTTATCAATAAGAAAAGTTATTAATCGCCCAATGTGGGGCTCGAACCCACGACCCTGGGATTAAGAGTCCCATGCTCTACCGACTGAGCTAACCGGGCTGATGTGTGGCAATTCCATCACGCTTCGTCCGCGCTCGGATTATGTGAGCTTTAATACTTTAAGGTGGATCTAATTATTCATGCGTATAAGATAAGGAATGATTTTGTTTTGGACCACCAGCAAAGCTTACCGGTCTTTTGTGGTAACTTGATTGTAAAGTCCCTACTCATATAACTGATTTTTTATCAGAATATTTCTGCTTTTAGGAATTTGAAATGTTCAATTTGGCAGCAAGGATGATTTATTTCGTGGGGTTTAGCATATCCAGTTTAGCACTCATTTCAGCCTTGCTTATATTCTCATATTTCAGGTAAGGACCATCTTTCTTTTTTCTTTCTTTCTTTCTTTCTTTTTTTTTTTTTCTTTTCTTTTTTTTTCTTTTCCTTTTTTTGTCTTTTGAAACATTGGTATCATAAATACACGCGCTTGTTGTTGAAATGAAATTCCCTGGGAATTTTGAATGCAGCTATCTAGCATGGTTAGTTTAGGACACGCTTTTTCAGCTATCACTGTTTTAATCTATTTTATAAAATGGAGCTCATGATTCTGGTACAGTTAAAGCTTACTAAAAATTCTACTTAATTTACGAATATATTTATTTTATCCGATACAATTTTACCAAAGCAAAATACCAAAGTTCTTATTAACGACATATCTCCACAAACAGTTAATACAAGCACGGAGTTGACAACATTTGAATATGAAAAAGTAGATTCCCAAAACACATTCCTGAAAAATGGGAAAGTTACTAAAAAAAAAAAAACCTTGACAAAAATTGGCTCAGTTTAACTATAAACGTAGTCCAAAAATCCTTACCTGTACACAAAACTAAACATGGTGATGCTTACAAGATATTTTACGGCCAAATCTTCATCAGACTTAAGTTTGTCAATAGGCGGCCCGATGGAATCCGATGAAGGCCTTCGTCCATGTTAGTCGTAAACTACAGGTATAACATACAAACGTCATTATATTTGCTGATCCACAAATAACGATCATTGTACCAAATACAGTGTAATATAGTTGTGTATTATTTCTTCTTTTCAGAAGCCTACACTGTCTCAGGAACACCATCCACTCTCATTTGATGGGTTCATTTCTTCTCAGGATATTAGTCTGGGTAATGCTGCATTTCGTCACCCGTGCGGTGTTCTTAGAGCCAGATATTAAAGACGTATCGTCAGGGGTAAGGGTTTGTGTATGCGCGCGTGCCCGCTTGTGTGTGTTTGTGTGTTTGAGTATGCGCGTGTTTCCGTGCGTGTGTATGTGCGTGTGTGTGCATGTTTATGTGTAATTGTTTGAGTTTGTGTGTGTTTGTTCAAGTGCTTGAGTTTGCTTGCGCGCATATTTTGTTCTTTGTGTTTGTGTTTGAGTATGTGTGTGTTTCCGTACGCATGTATGTACGTGTGTGCAAGTGTGTGTGCGTGTTGAAGAATATGTGTACATTTAAATGTTATGTTCCCACAACGTACAAGAAAAACCTTCTGCTATCTTATGAAGTTAATCCTAAAGGCTCAATCATGCTCACCTGTTACACAAGAAACGTGTTGCATGAAATATTTTCAAAAATAATTTTTATCATTTTGAATTTTTTTTCAGTTGAACTGGTTCTGTAAAATCCTCACGGCTCTCTCCCACTACAGTACCATAGCTAACTTCTTCTGGATGTTAATGGAAGGGCTTTACCTTCATATTATGGTGTTCTGGGTCTACTCCGCCGAAAAACTCAACATCTGGCTCTTCGCGCTCATCGGTTGGGGTTAGTAAAGACGCCATCAGAGACAAAATGGATATGGTGTTATCTTTCAATTGCGAAGATTTGAAATAAAAAAAACCCTTATTTTTAAATAAGTTTTTTATTTCAAATCTTAATCTGTTAAAACAAATGAATCCTGTCGTTTTTATGTATACATTTTATGCACTGTGCAATCGAACAAGACAGCATGTGCTTTATTTATTTATTTATTTATTTATTTATTTATTTATTTATTTATTTATTTTACAGGCTGCCCTTGGTTCTTCGTAATTATATGGGCTATCGCCAAGTATAACAAACAAAACAGAGAGTAAGTGTTAATGCATAGGTTTTATAAATGTGAAGGGATTTTATGTCAAATATAGAAGCACGTATAGTGAAAAGAGACGCTCGGTAGATGCGAAGTAACGTCTCTGATATTGTTTAATACTGTTGATTTTGAATGAAGATTTCGAATTAAACTGTTTAGAGTAAAAAAAAAAAAAAAAATCTGATTAACTACACTTGTACCGGTACTGATTCTTTGATTTTCAGTATACATACATGTACGTATAAACGTACAGTAGAATGATAATCACTTTCATAATTTTGGGGTTTTCAGTTGTTGGATTACCCTGCACGGCTCGAGTGATGCCTTGGACTTCATAATATATGCTCCAAACTTGACAGTTATAGGGGTAAGTGCTCTCTCTCTCTCTCTCGCGCGCGCGCTCTCTCATGGCCTCTTTACTGCCCCTTTCTATTGCCTTCACTCTGCACCATCATTGTAAGTTCCAGTATCAGAATTAAATATATTTCTCATTTTTATTCTACTGAATCATGACTAATAAGATTCACTCAACATCACAGTATGGACTTATTTTGTTCCCCTTCAGGTGAACCTGGTATTTCTGTTTTCCATCATTTGGGTGCTTGTCTCCAAAATCAATTCTTCCCAAAACTTTGATGGGGGCCAATACACGTAAGTATCCATGATTTCCGTTTTAGAAAATGTGTTTAATACCGTTGCCTTTTAAAGGAGTCGGTGATTAACTTACATTGTTGAGAAAAAACTCTTCCTTGTTTGCATTTGCCGCACAATAAATACCAACAGAGATAGATTTAAAGATCCAAGTCTATTTTTTACACCGGACTTGCGATTCCTTGTGGCACAGGCTCGCACAAACAAATACTATCCATTCCCTGAATATTTTGCTTTTTCGGATAGATCAGTCAAAAAACTGATATCGAAATAATATGTATATACGTGACATGAAAGTAGTACCTTTAATCCTTTCTTGAGAAAAGGGGATTTGCCTTCACTTACAACCCACCAAAATTTGTTTTCTATAAAATCATGTATCCCTTTGTCTTTGAATCCCATTTAACTTAAACTTTTTTTTCTTTTCTCTTTTAACATATGAGCAAGTGAACGTAAACTCATTTCTTTTTGCAGGAATAAAACGAGTTTTTTGTCTTACAGTAAAGCTGTCCGAGCGACAACTCTGCTTGTTTTGCTTCTTGGAGTGGCCTACATTTTCTTCGTCATCCCTCCAAGCAATGACCGGGTGACGAGGATGATTTTCTTTTTCTGCGTGGCTGTTCTGACGTCACTGCAGGTAGACCAATCGTTTATTATAATCCGCGCGTACATTTAAGCGCTGTATTTGAAAAATTTGCTTAGAAAGAAATGCACTTTTAATATAAATTAGGAAAAAACGTCGATTTTTAACCTAATTTCAATCACTAAATGTAATTTGAATACTTGGTGCAAAGATATGAAGTGAGGGTTATTAATCTTCAATGGTTAGTTTATTTATTGATATCATTATAATTAGTCATTTTGTATGTATTCCAGGGGTTGTGCGCAGCGGCATTTTACTGTTTTATGAACGGAGAGGTTGGTAATATTTGCCATTTAAAATTGAAATAGATAAAGTCAGGATTTTGTTTCGAAATTAGTCATTGCTCGTAAATGCAAACCATAGTGAATCAAAAATTCCGTTCAACAATTTGATATTGTAAAATTAAAAATCTTGATATTCAAATGCCCCCAGAATTTTGGACGGAAATTCATTATTTATTATTTATTTTTTATTATTTATTAGAATAGAACAATGGCATATTGGGGTGGTGACCCACATTCCCCACATACCCCAGCTTGCAGAATAAATCGCAGTGTACATTTTTCTATTTACAAGAAAAAAAAAAAAACGGCTTAATGATATTTTGAAAATGTAGGTTCAAGCCACAATCAAACGGCGGTTTCATCATTGGCAAGACACAAGGAGCATTAGCCATGGTACGCGCTCAACGCGCGTGACTTCGGTGACAGGGCGTCAGAGCCCGACCAATGGGAACAGTTGTAGTCATCCGGGTACTCCCAAAGAGGAGGAGTCAAAAGAGATAGACTGTCTTATTCAATGCTCATTGGCCCATCGTGAAAGCAAGGACAGTAATGACAATGAAAAAGGCAAACTATCAGATAATCTAATGATGGCTCAGCTTAGTAATGGATCAAATGTATGAAATTGGAAGGTACTTATAAATATAAGGACCAAGCCTTGCAGGGTTGTGAGAGAAGAGGCAAATTTGCTTCCCTAGGGATTTACAGACTTGAATTTTTCCACGGCAGCTTCTGTTCCTCATCCTTCCAAAAGACTTTAGTGGGTTTGGGATCTATGGTTCTGTCATTTGTTGAAGACTTGAGGTTGAACTATCCAATTTTTTTTCTGGAACCTTCCGGAACTGAATGAAAATTGCCGCTGAAAATGTTTCAGAAAAGTACCATTTCTAACAGTATGATAGTTTGCAATTGGTTAAATTCTGTTCAATACCGACTAAGCGACCAAGATAGATTGCCTGGTTGTACATGTATGTATTTACATGTTATTTATTTACTGTGAGATTATGAATGCTTTAATAGTTTATGTTGTTTCAACATAGGTTCGCAATATGAGTAACGCACAAAGTGAATAACTTACCATTAACATATTTTATAATTTGCCCTTATTGAGTATTTTCAATTGTCGGCTTTGTAAATGCCAAAAATAGACGGATTTTACGCATGCTCATCCTTTTTACTACATAATGTCATGGGAGTAAAAGACGAGAGGAATGAATCAGTAAAACGCACAATGCCAGTAACTGATATCAAATGTTATTTTAGCCATGAAGTAGCATTACAGTTGGTACATGTAGCTTTGTAAATATAAAAAACGGAATTTTAAGCATGCTCATCCTTAATATTGTTACACGTAGTGGAAAAGATGTAGATGTCGGTTGATGGTCGGTTGATGAGGGTCGAACGCACAATATTTGTAACTTATATTTGTGATTAAGTACTATTTTCAATTGGCAGCTTTGTAAATAAAGATACTGATTTAAGTATTCTCATTGTTGTTTTTTCAGTCACATGTATTATTATAGGCGTAGGTGTCATCATCCCCCCCCCTCCCGATTTTTCAGCCTCGCTTATCATTAGTACAGATAGCAGGGGCCCTAGTTTTTTCACGTTTTTACATTCACCCGATACTCTGCAAAGCACCACACCCACTTGGCTGGTGTTTAAGGAACGTTGATCACACACATACCAAACAGAAAGTCATGTGGGCGGCGGAATTCTGGGAACACATCAGTGGTATTGACCCAAACATTACATTCACCATCGAGAGGGAATAAGAGGGACGACTAGCATTCTTGGACACCAAAGATCCAAAGCCGATATAGTGATTCCATATACGAAGTGTAAAGCTGAACATCTGAAGCGCATCTATGCCAAACACAAAGTGAATGTATGTTTTAAACCTCACAGAACTTTCTAGCAGATCCCATGTCACCCTAAAGACAAGACAGACAAGAAACATGTCAGTGGCGCGACCTATCATAGTAAGTGCCATTGGCATAAGGACTGTGAATGTGACGAGTACATCGGAGAGACAGAAATCACGCTTAAATCTTGGGTCATGGAACATAAGAGAGGGAGCGCCATCACATCAGAGGTTTCTAATTACATTCATTCAGATAAACCAGGACACCAGACCCCATGGGCGCCAGTTAAGGTCTTGGACAAGGGAGGATGCATAAGGGAGGGGGGTTAAGGAGGCAAAACCCAAGCCTGAACCGAGACGGGGGAAACACCAATTGTGTCACATATGGGACAGCACTATCACTGAGACATTAGTGAAAAGTGCTCAGTCTCAGAGGAGCACACACCGAAGAAGGTCACAGTAGTGATCCAAAGCTTTGTTTAGGTACAGTTCAAGTAAGTGTAGATATTTTAAAGTTTAAATACCTAAATGTACATGTTTGTGAATTGATAAGCTGTGCAGTGCAGTCAATACATGCACCAGTACAGTACAGTAGTATAATGTCAGCAGATATTGTACAATACTTTTCCTTATACATCGTAATTTTCATTCGTTGGATAAAACTGTGAAGAAATGTTTCCTGTGTTGTACAGAACAATCGAGTGAGCATACGCCCAAATGAAAGACAAGATTTACTTACGTACAAGCAAGGAGTCTGTTATAACTCCTTGGTACAAGTAACAACCCCTACAATGAGATATAGCCCATATATATGTTTTCATCTAATAAATGCAGCATGAAAAGCAAAAGGATAGTAGGTTCAGCATACGGTGAAAAACAATTCCTGGCGTACACCCTTAGCACAATACGGGCTGTGACTCACAGTGGGCGCTTTCAGAACAAGGTGATCCACGGATCAAATATGGCAGACCCACTTGAAAGCGTGTGGCATTATCCCTTAATAGACACTGTATGCATAATCCGTGGGGAATGCGCTTGGGTCGGCGATATTTGATCCTCGGATCTGCTAGTCGGCGGATCAACTTATGTTGTGAATGCGGGAAAGGTGAAGGTGTCAAGATATTATTACTCCCCAGCACGCACTAAAAAGTGACTTATTGGACAAACCTAGGAGAAAACCCCCGCGCCTGCGTTGTTGAACGTCCAGGAAACGTTGGTGCGGCAGATGCATCTATTCGAAAAAGACGAACTACAACACAGACTAAATGCAAAGCCATCCCCCCTCCCGTCGCAAAGACAGTTGTTAGTAAAATATGTTTAAAAATCTTCAAAAGCTTTATAGCAGATTATAAAAATGAAATGCAATAAACAATATAAAATTTTTATTTGGAAGACAAAAAAACCAGTATAACGATTTTGATTTCGATGTCTGTTTTGACTGGCATTCCTGGAAGCGTATTTTCGAAGATACTTCAGGAAAAAGAGTCAAGCGTAGGAAAATGCAAAAATTGGATTTTTTTATCGAGTTTATCAAATTGCAGGTCTTTAAATACTTCTAATTGGCTCTTCAATTATGACAATAAAGCTCGTTGTTATCAATATTTTACTATAATTATTATTTAAACTTGCGGCCGTCGCTGAACAGGATGAAACCATCTCGAGTTTAGCAGTTTGTCGGCATCTTCTGCCCAGCCAATACAAATGGAAACATTTTCTTTTTGAAAAATAAAGGTGCGTGTCATAGTGTAAATCCAGAGCAGATATTTCGTATAAAATGAATGTTTTTTTTTAGTCGAGACATCTAAATGATCACCTAGTCCTTGGACCTAAATAAATCTATTTATATTAGGTCTAAGCCTAGTCACAACTCTTTGACGCGTAATGACTCTAAGCTAATACCATTTTATGTGGCGCGGGAGCTTGAAGGGCAACTCCATGGGATTTACCCGCCAAAATGGATTTTCCCGGGGAAATAAGTAAATTTCTTGCACTCACTAATAATTTGTCCATTCCTCTCTGCACTTGGCTTCGAACTTTAATTGCAATTTCTAAAGGTTGATTTAGTTTTTAAGTAACTGGCCAGTAATTTTAACCAGCGACTATCTTCCTAAACTCCGATGGAAATATTAACATCAGGTACGCCCGAGGAACTATTTTAATAGATTTTAAGGTTTATGTACGGTTTTATAACAAGCTGTAGATGGCAAAAATAAGCACTTGGATGATTTTCAAACCCATGGAGTCTACCTTTTACCTTTATTCTACCGGTACTGGTACCGATTATCCGATTCGTATACCAATCTACAAACTCTTCAATTGTTTCTATGATAAAAAATCTTTGGATAGACAATGTTACATTAGAGATTCATAACATTTTCAATATCAGCTAATGATTGAAATGCTTTATTCTCACACGCTCAGTCTTTTCTCTTATTTTATAAACCTTTTTTTTCGCACGTGAAAAGAAATCAATCATTTGGAATTACCTACAGTTCAATAACTGTCCTTAACACATCGTATAACAGTACATAATCTACAAACATTCTCGTTGTCAACTTTCTACATAACAACCTAATTTTCTATACGGACATTCAAATTTGACACTGGCACGTTACTCTCTTAATTTTCGTAATTTAATTGGCACTAACGTATAAACGTATTTTTCCACATATGAAAACATCATTTTCTGTATACTAATAAATACTTTTATATACTTAAACAACGGAATTATTATAATTGTGCTAATAATAATACAGGACGTCGAGTTCAAAATGTCTTTTAGAGAGCGTACACGACATTGACATTGACAAAGCTACAGTACCACAAGCAATTTTCCCACACGTTCTCTATTACTGTTTTACTACAATCAACATGGAAGTGACAAACAAAAACCACATCAAGTCCATCAAAGAATAAAAAGGAATATCTCCAAAAATCGTGAAGAAAGAAATGGGAACTTGACGCCCTACCAAATGGAACATTTCACGATAAGAGTAATTAAAACAAAAAAAGCGTCTGAACTGTATGCTACGAAAAGATGTAAGTATCTATTTTTAATAAAAGAACAACATACAAATCTCAAAAATGCATACAACATTGTGCAGAAAAAAATCCCTGGAATTCTCAACAATTTTCAATTTATCACCACAACATATTCAATTCAAAACAAAGAAGAAAATTACGTTTTATAAATGATTAATTCTGAACTTTCATTTTAACATTACAAGTGTAATTCACCAGTCTTCATCCCCGTTAAATGAGTGACTCAAAAATTAGAAACTTAAAACAAAAAATAGTAATTTTTTCAACATAATTGGACATGGTACATCTACACAATTAAAGTAAAATGAGGGAAATTCACTAGAACATCATTTCTTTGCTGTATAAAGGACTAACAGTCAACGTATATATTCAACACCTCACTTGCTACCAACTGACACAAATACAAATTAATTGCACATTTTTATAGAAATTATATAAACACAAATATGTTTTAAACAAAATTCCTGGGGCATGAGGGAAAGTTAATTTCCCCAAATACATTAAGTTCATACATACACGAAAATAACATAAATACTACATATACAAACAGACATATAATACCAAATTTTTTATTCAATTTCCATCCATTGACCGCCACAGCTACAAGAAGAAATATGACAGTTGCCAATAGGGAAATGGACGTAAACACAATGGTTTTGCTATTGATGTCGACTGGGGCGCCAACCCGGAAACACTCTATCATCCATGGTAGTCCTAGGCACAACAGGATGTCGAAGATATTGCTCCCGACGGAATTTGAGATTGCCATATCCCCAAAACCTAAAAAGCACAATGAATGTATGTAATAATCTACCAAAGATTAATTTTGTGCACCACCAAAATCTCAGTTACAGTACTGGGTCCCTTCCAAACAGTTTCCGAAAATTTCATTAAAAATCCGTCTAAAGCAGTTTCCATAAATGTTCCTTACAGACAGACAAATGGAACCAAACACATACTAACCTAATTGACTTAGGTATAATAAATAATTAAATAAATCAATAACTCACCATCTCTAGCCACAAACAAACTGGACATGGCATCAGGTACACTTGTGCCAGCAGCAAGAATCGTCAACCCCATCACAGCATCAGGGATGTTCCAGGTGTCACCTAAAAGGAGACAAGTTCATCATTTAATTAAGCAAGCCAATAGTTTTAAAGGCTGTTTTCAGTATACATGTTATTGTGCTAGCAGGGTTGATCTATCTCAAAGAGGATTCTCGTTAAGGTGAAGTCAATGCGATCAGCTTAATTGTCTGGTAAGCTTCCTCTAATTAAAAGTACTTGGGTAAAGTCTGGGAAAACTGTGTGGTCTATGACATTGTTCATGTTCCTTTGCAAGGGGGCATGCCAGACAATTAAGCTGATTTCACTGACTTAACCTTAGCCTAAATCCCAGCTAAATCCTGCTAGTATCATAACTTCTATTCTAAACACAGCCTAAGATCAAACAATAGACACAATGTGCTACAATCAAAGACTTAAAAGATTCCAAAGCTTATTAAATCCATATATACACTTTTATTTTAAAGTTTCAATAATAAAATGCAACATTTTCTTCCATGTCTTTTAACTAAGGGTGTATTCCCAGAGATTTAAATCGATCCAGAGATTAAGGCTTCGTTCACATGGAATGTCTATTTTCTAAAAATCTATTTTCTATTCGCGGTATCTTATGATCACGGTCTGTGCCCTGAATATCCTGCCGCGTAATTACTGGCAGCGCGAGCCAGTTACTTATAGTAACTTATAGTAACTGGCTCGCGCTGCCAGTAATTTCGCCGCGGGATATTCAGGGCACAGACCGTGATCACAAGATATACCACGAATAGAAAATAGATTTTTAGAAAATAGACATTCCATGTGAACGAAGCCTAAGATTTAGATCGACCTAACTCCCTGGGGGTTCACGCTTAATTGCAGTCAGCCGAGCACACACCATAGTTAATTACCCCCTTACAGCTTTCACTAGGCAGGACAGACGCTTAAGCCGGCTAAGCTGACAGTAATCTAGTGAGACTCCCCACAGGGATAGATCGATCTAAAATCTATGGAAATGGGGTCTAAGGGTTCATTCCCAATGAAACTATCCATCTACATAGATTGATCCAATACTGCAGGGGCTCTCACTCAATACAATCAAATTGACAGATTGGCAGGCCTCAGCATTATAGGAGTATGTTGGAAACAAGTAGAGGCGTGTTAATCTTCTACACCTATTGCGTTCTGTGGGAGTTTCCATGGGGTTTGATCGATCGATGTAGACCAATTGTTTTGATTGTGCATAAGCCTTGTAATGTTTGAATATTTGACCATCATGTTGTAACTGATTGTTTAACTGTAAGATAATTGCAGTTTAATTAACTTTGAATTTTATTTAATAACTTAAAATTTACCCATTATAGCAACCATCCACACCATCACGTAGGAGAAACCAGATATCCACACCACTGACATGATGAACGAGAGCAGAAAAAGTCTTTTCCAGACTCCACCCCTGCGAGAATCAGGTACTGTCAAGAAGAGCAAGGCCGACACAGGCAACATTGCGACCCAATAGAAACGTTTTAGAAACGATTCTGGGACGGTCCATGGGGATTCAAAGTCTTCATCATCTGTATGGAAAGAACCAACAAAAAGAAGTTATTAAGGTATGAAGACATTCTGTTTTGCATAAGGTGATCTACATATCTTAAAATTGGCATAATACATCTACACACATGTATCCTTGAACACAGACACATGGACATCCTCTTCAAGAAATACCTTACCTGTTTAATTAGCAAAAAAATTGTCCATTCAGCCACTGTTATCTTTGCTAATTTAATGCCAACAAATTGTATATTTTATGGTAATGACTTGGTCTTTTCAATGGGGAAAATTGTGAATTTTATATAGATACTGCATTTCTTAAAAAGAACATTCCCATTGAGTGGTAGGAACAAAATTACGAAAGTTGCTCTATAGCTCTATTTTATACAGTAAAATCACCATAAAATTCCAAAATAATTCACTGGAAAAATTGATAAGAAAAGATGGGGGCATTACTGTTCTTAAAGTAATATAAAAATAATAAGATAAATTCAAGCCTTAGTGTTTCTTTGTGGTATTACAAATTAACATATTCTGTGCCATAATAAGATCATCAATGACAGAGATCAAACATGACTTTAGTAGCATTTTGTGTGTGTGTGTGTGTGTGTGTGTGTGTGTGTGTGAGTGAGTACGGGGGGGGGGGGGGGTACCAGGGGAATACCAGCTAAATTGTTACCTTCACTTTCTGTGGCAGAATTCTCTCCTCCAAAGTGGGTTTCTGTTTCTCCACTTTTGAAGCTGACACTGGATTTTTCTGCATCTTCTCCTAAAAGTGGGGCGGATTCTTCTCCTGCGTGCCCTTTTAAGTTACCAGGAAAATGTCCACGTCTATGTTGAAATTCATGAACCTGAAATAAGTACATGTTAACAACATATTAATCATTATGATTTTCATATACACCTTGTGAAATTTCTGATTGAAACACCACTAGGAAAAAATAAAATGATATGGAAAAAATATTAAATGCACAACCTACCTTTGCAATTGCCCAGCTACTTACTCTGGGGTTGAAGTACATAAATGTCACATATAGAATGTACATTGTAAACATTATTAGTGCTTCATACCTGAAATATGAAATTAAATAAATATATACTGCTACAAATATGTTATAACAGGGGTGATTATGCATCACACATCAGCATTACGCATTTTGACTGTATTATACAAAATTGAAATGAAATTGATCAAATTATTATATGGTTTAAAATTTAAAACTTTTGAAGCATTTTGGGTTGTAGCTCTTTGAAATATTAGAAAAAGGTCCCTGTTACTTGATATGAACAGGATGATCGCATTGGAACATTTCATTGCCTGATGGCCTCAAATTGTGCTTAGTTGTGACAAATGCATGTTAGCATTAACTGCCTCATTTTTAATTGTAATGGGACAAGTTGAATATGGCTCTATTCCCATAGATTTTAGATCGATCTATCCCTGCGGGGAGTCTCACTAGATTACTTTCAGATAATCCGACTTAAATGTCCGTCCCGCCTACTACAAGCTGTAAGTGGGTAATTAACTTTCGTGTCCGCCCGGCTGATAGCTATTTAGCGTGAACCCCCAGGGAGTTAGGTCGATCTAAAGTAGGTCGATCTAATCTATGGAAATGGGGTGTATGACTTATGTAAAGATTTTTAAACCCAACAAATGTGGTGAAAATTGTGACTTATTTTTCAATTAACCATTTCAATTTAAAAAATGAATATAGTTAGCCATTTGATATAATATTCAGAATCAAGTTGACCTATCACCAGATTGCGACAGAACAAAATCATGTATAATATTGTCCTTTTGTTTTCAATAATATTTATCTATTTTTTAAAAATTAATTTATTTATTGCACTCACCAGTGAACTTCCCCATCTTGTATCACAACTGTTAACACTATAACAGACAAAGCATAGTAGGAACAATCTCTAAACAGAGGCCACCAAGTGAGTGGAATCACCTTAGGAAAGAATAAAGAGAAAATTGAATCAGCTTAAAAAAGAAAATGTTATAAAACAAAAGAAATTTACTCCAAAAACTGGTCTAAACATTCACACTAAAATTTTGGTCTTCTTCAGTTCATGGTTAATCCAGAATTATAGCCCTCTTCCATTTGAATACTGGTGTGAACCACGAAAGAAATATTTCTTTTGATAAGCAGACACAATATTTTATTTTTAACTGGAGTACTGCTGATTTTAACTTTAAAAGTAGACTAAGACCCCATTCCCAAACCTAGCTCAATCTAGCAGGATCAACCCATCTCAGAGGGGATTCTCATAAAATTGCATTCAGATTAAGCGGCTTAGATGCGTGGCACGAAGCTGTTAAATGATAGTTAATTACCCCCTAACAGCTTCAGTGGGCGTGCCAGACATCACAGCCACTTAAGCCGAATGTGATTTAGGGTCACGCCCTGTGCCCTGAATACCCCGCTGCATAATTACTGGCAGCGCCAAGAATTAATTACAGCTTTGGAAGAAACTGGCTCGCGCTGCCCGTAATTACGCCGTGGGATATTCAGGGCACAGACAATGATCACAAGATACCGCAAACAGATTTTTAGATTTTTAGAAAATAGATTTTTCATGTGAACAGAGCCTTAGTGAACAGTGTTTGCATATAACAGGTTGCCTTTGCATTTAATGGGCAAAAATGACCAGTTTCAATAAGTGTGTTATATGTGCGATCTACTGTATACCGATATAAAAAAGTTAATACCATGCCAGCAAAAAGGGAACACATAGCAACAATGATGAGTATGTTGAAGACTGCACTTCCCACAATGGTTCCAAGCCCGACGTCACTCTGTGCAATAAATACACCTAGAAACAAACCAATAACATGCAGGAAAAAAAGGGGGCAGCACTGCAGTGAAAAGAGAACTCATTCCCATAAATACAATCGATCTTGTGGATTGACCCAACTCTGCGGAAAATATCACCAACTGCAATCAGCTTCACTGAAAGACATCCCTCCTCCAGACATTAAGGAAAAAACAGAAAAGTTGGTAATTATATGTGTATGTTGGAAACAAGAGGAGGCATGTTATTCAGTTATGCTGATTGGACTTAACAGGAGTCCTCCCAGAACTGGGGTGATTCACATAGGCAGATGGTGTTTATGGGAATGGAGTCTAATGGGATTCATATGAAATAGCCTGAAATGTGATAAAAGATAATCTTTAAAAAAAAATTTGATTTCTGATAATGGCAGTTCTGACGTCTGAAGCTTTAAGATTTGCACCTCACAGTCAAGAATAAAATACACAATCTAAAATGACATTGAAATCTCACTTATTTGATCAGACTCAGACCAATTTGGAAAAATTCAATCTTTTTATTTCTTGGTTCTCAGTCTACTGGTTAACTGCCACAGATCAGTCATTAATTATTAAATTATGACACATATTTCGCAAGTAATAACTTTGTGCAAGTAAGATTGACAAATTAGTTGGTTAATCAATGCCATAGCGTGCAGTATAAGTAGAAATTGAGGCAAAGGGGGTAAATAAAATTGATTTCAATTGCATTTTTCGATCCTTTTAGTAAATGCCCAGTCCCAGCTCTAGCTGTTTCAGAATTCATTCAAATATGTTTTACTGATCAATTTTATATTATCTGAAATACTCAAAAATTACTTTACTTTAGGGCTAAATGAGTGTCTCCTTTGCCTTTACCACTGATTAGTGTGTGTGTGTGTGTGTTTGTTAAAAAATATACAAACACACACACAAAAAATAAATGACACCTGCGCCCAAGCATCAACACACAAAAACGAATATTCCTACTATTTAAGCACCTTCCAATCAGTTAGCACGGAGCAAATGCCTACGATCACGAGAATGTTGAACACGGAAGACCCTACCACTGTTCCTAAACCAACATCACTCTTTGATACCATTACACCTGCAATAATCACACTATAAAGCTGCATTCACATCATGGCAAGCTTTAACTACAATCAATCAATTAATTAATTAATTAATTCATTCATTAATTAAAAAGTAACTATTAAACTGTGAACACAAGTGGAGAGGCTTTGACTCAAAAATCTATTCATAAAGCCACATTCACAACTGGATAAGCTTTGACTTGAAAAAATAACTATAAAGCAGTGTTCACAACAACAATAAAAGGGACAAAAAGCCAACTAATATGGTTGGGTAAGCATCTAACAAAGTGCAGATTCTAGTGTTTAATTGCAAAAACTAAAACAGATTATGGATTTGATTTGTACAGATGGAAAATATATAAAGCAAGTGTAACATAGCCAAAAAATCAACCAAATCAGATTTTAGCTCTGGAAGAATTAAAAATTACAGATATCCACACAAAGCCACTGCATGTTTCAATGTATTAATTATGTGAAAATAGTTTTACGAACTGTATGAGAAGGCAGAGTACTGCAATGACAAAATAATGTAACATACTGAGATAAGAAAATTTAATCTTACACTAGATATTACATTGAAACAGAGATCCAGTATTAGATTTAATTTTCTCATTATCTCAGTATAACTGGATGAATCAAAATATTCACTTCCAAATGTAAAGCACTGTTTATATGCCATTGCCATGGGAAGAGCAAGTGCTATAATATAAAGAATTTCTCAGCACCAGATTTGGTGAAAAAAAAAAACATTTAGCTAAATAAACTAAAATAAAACCATCAGAAGTTGTCTCATTTTACCTATTATAGATGTGGCTAGTTCAGGCGCAGAACTTCCAGCAGCCATAAAGGTTGCCCCGGCGACATCTGGTGACAGACCTAGCCCTAGAAATATATAGTTTAGTATCTTTTAAATAAGCTAATAATAAACAACTACTTGAAATGTTTAATATCTTAAGACATTTTTCCTTATTTCTTCAGTTACTATGACTGTATAATAAATAAATAAATAAATAAATAAATAAATAAATAAATAAAACTTCAAAAATACTATTCATATATTTTCAGGAATCAAATTAAAGAGAATAAAAAAAGTTTGATCATAATTAGTAACATAAAAAAATAAGAGCAGACTAAACAATAAAAAAAAAACGTAAATATAAAAATATACTTACTTGTACAGATATGTTCTAAAGAAGGCACAAAATAATCATCACAGACAATAGCTAACGCACTGAACATGTACAAAGCTCCCAGACAGTGAAGAAAAATGAGGCCATAGCGCTGTTTTTGCTCAAGGGTGAAGAGATCAGGGGGAAATTCCTCCACTGAACGCTTTGTGCAATTCTGGGGCTCCTCTGAATGAATTAAAAAATATATATATATAAAATTTGCAAAGTGATACATTTGATAGTTTAATTTCCAGTGTATCCCACCTTATCTAACAGCATAATGGGCCTTTTTCTTTTCTTGTTATTTATATCTACTTGTTTATCTCTCTGTATTATTATTATTATTTTTAAAAATTTTTATACACCCAGTCAAATCATTAATATATTAAACATTGCAAAATAATCGTAGATGGCACACTGGCAAAGACAAGATATGTATGTAATCTTCCTGATCAGAGAAGGGCAGACAATAATGGCATTTTTGATCACAAACCAAAAAGAAAGTTTAGATATGGATGCCAAAATAAGATCTATAATGATTGGAATCTCTGGGAATAAATATGTTTGCAGAGATTCCATAAGTACATAAGTACACATATGAAATGAGATTTGTTGAGTCAGTGTGACTTATGCCCCTATTTCACACAGACCACGAGTCCCACAAATGGCCAGGAATTGACAAATTTCATGAACTGATTACAATTCAACCATGGATCCTGAAATTTGAGGTATTCAGAACATGTTCATCGGTGGGCTAACAAATCTGCTGACTAAATATGGCCACCTAACTTAAAAGCAGCAGCATCTAATTCCGTGACGGCCTTCCTGCTAATTCATTGCTGGAGGGGCCTTGCAATTAAACATCAGAGCTGATATCTAATCTGTTTAATGGCAGGGAGATCATCAGAGGATTAAGCAGCGCTGCTTTTGAGCATGGTCGACCATACTTAGTCATGGGATCAGTTAGGCCGCATTCACGTCGAGTTGAGCCATGGCGAACGTACATGAAAAGAAAACCGCCTAATCTTTTAATAGTCTCTTACAGAAAGTGTGTTACATGCTGATAAATCTATACATAAGATGCTCCATACAATGTAAATATACATGTACATGTTAAAGCCACTGACTCTGATATTTATATCTTAGTCATCCCATTTCTTATTTATTTAGTGAAAGGAAGAGGTCAGTGTATTGGGTATATAATGTCCAATACCCTTGACCCATCGTCTCCGTCTTTATCAACTCTAGAAGTTCAGTATGACAATTAAGTTAAGTGCTGATACTTGTATATGGCAGGGTTCATACGACAACATCAATAACACTTTCAAGGACTTTCAAGGACTTTGAAGCTCTCATTCAAGTACTTTTCAAGGACTTTGAACGCAAATTACTGTCATTTATAAGTGTTCATAACAAAGAAAGAAAGACATTATTTCAAATATTAAATTTGAATTTTAACATATTCATGATGAAACCTGAAAACAATAAATTTTAAAGTAATTGTAAGTGATTTCTAAAAAAAAAGTATTCCCTTTCTGCAAGTTATTGTTAATATTCAGGTTAAAAACTACAAGATTTAAAATAATATTTTGACAAATTGCCAAGTGATCAAATCAGAGTACATTTTAAGGACATAATTGCGATTAGCACGAAAATTCATGCGTTAGCACTCCTATTGACGATTCTGATACGTACTGGCTGTGCACAGGCAGCACATATCAAAATCGTCAATAGGAGTGCTAAATTGCGAAATACAAGCCCTTTTCAAGTCTTAATTATAGCAATTAATTTCAAGCACTTTTTAAGGCCACAAGCTGAATTCAAGGGGCAGGGATATATTGATTGCATTAATATTATGAACCCTGTCTACAGAGTACATGTGTATCAACAACTGCCTTGCATGGGCACAGGGATGTGAGAGGTACATGTAGAGGTCATTTATTTTGATTCTTTGAAATAAAACTTATATAATATTGTAAGTAATAGCTTAAATAAAATAATCAATAAATAATACAGGTGTTATATAACAAAATTAATCTGATTCACCCCTTTCCCAAAGATGAAATGACACACACTCTGCACTTATAGCGTATCCGTACATAACATGCTTAATGATATGAATTTTATAAAAGTTAAGATATACATGTATTATAAAAAGAAGGAGAAGAAGAAACACTGAACTGTGCTTCTAATGCTCTGAAAACATGTCTGATTCATTTCATAAAACGCTTGCAACAAACATACCAGTACACACGCGATCAACAAAACACCTGTCTCTAAGCTCTCATATGACTACCGGTATATATAATACACAAAACGTCTACCTGTCGCTGACAGTTCAATAGCTCTCTTAACGCGACTTCCTTCATTGTGTTGCGTCCTCCCATCGACCGCCGAAACCTCAACACTCCGTCCAGCTGGCTTTAGTATCTGTACCACGATCGTAGCACAAAGCATCAGTCCTGCTAGCACGAGGAATATAACTTCTCGACGTTTCCTTCGTTGTCGCCAAACATTTCTTGTACGAGCTTCTTTCCCCATGGTCCCGTCCGTCCCAGTTAGGTCATATTGCTGTCATGTGGTATGAGAGCCGATAATATCAACGCAAAACTAGGTCAAGACGAGATTGCCGTGCTGTCACGTTACGCGTGCATGGACGTGTTCGCTGTACACTCCCCCTCCCCCCTCTCTTTACTCTGCGTTTCGGTAAAACTTTAATTTTTCCCTTGATTTCAAAACGATGCTATATCCTAAAATATTGAAGGTAAGTTTAAGTAGGTGCATTATAGGCCTAACTAGTTAGATACCCGGTATTTATTGATTTATTTAGTATTTTTAAGGGCGAAAGAAAAATATAAAAAAATCAGGGGCGAATCCAGGATTATTTAAGAAGGGGGGGGGGGGTCCGCAGATGCGAAGCCGACCCCCCCACCCCACCCCCACCCACCCACCCACGTGCACACACCCCTCGGCGTGAAGTTCGGGCCCCGCTGAATCATGGCCCCGAAAAAATTGGTATTTTAGAGGGTGAACGATGTCATTTGGTACGGTTTAGAACTATGATTCATGTACAAAATTCTAATTTCAAGAGGGCACCATTGGTGTGATTTTTTTTCAGAAATCGAAAGGGGTGGGGGGGGGGTGGGGGTCAGGACCCCACCTGACACCCCCCCAAATCCGCCACTGAAAAGGAGAAACGCATTGTATAAAACGGATTTTTAACATTAAAAAGAATGAAGAGTGGCGACATTTGAGTTTGGGCATTTTCAAAGTTTTATTTCATTTCATATTTATTTTATATATAAGTGTACGCCCCAACTTTAAAACAATCATAAAAGGGTAAAACAAAAACGTATAAATTGTACTGCATGTACTAGTATTTACTAAATTGTGTTTTAATCACGAAATAACTATTTTGCTTCCCCTTAAAAAAACAGTTTTGAATGAAGTTTATTCATGAGCATATTTGGATAGAAGAAATACAAACTCGATACGTAGTTTCTCGGCGCAAATAAAATTCTACCGGGGTTTGTGTGCTTCTCGTTTTTAAGGGGTATACAATATGTAGATACCAAGTACACTAGTACATTGAAAACTAAACTTGTCAAGTACCTTTTATGTGAAATTTCTTTTATGTGAAAAAACTAACCTTAAAGTGATAATAACTCTTTGTTTCGGCCAAAAAATGAATTTTCCTGGAGTAAACAACAATTTTCCCATACTTACCAATGGTTNTATTATTTCAATAAAAATATACTGTCGCGTTCTTTTCTTTTTCTCCGAACGCGATGGGTCGATCTCAAACAAACGTACGACGCCTCCAGTTAAAATAAAACTGTAAGGTTTATTGATCAAACTTCTATTTGAAAGTCCCAACACTGTTACTACTCTGCAGTGCTGACTTAACAAACTCTCTACTGCTTCTACACACTGACTCAACTGCATACATTATCTTATTTCCTCACGCTCTACTCTTCTCTATCTCCTTAATCTATCTTCTGTTACTAGGAAATACCGTATGTATTTATAGCGGTAACGGGAGCCCTAAAAGGACGAGCACGGCGGCGGAAAAGCTCCCGTTTGTAGCGTTAATTGAAATTGAAAGGAAAGCACGCTCGTCTGGGGACACTTGAATGCAAAAAGCTCCCTTACACCTCATTTCCATAGATAAGATCGACCTACTTTAGATCGACCTAACTCCCTGGGGGTTCACGCTAAATAGCTGTCAACCGGGCGGACACGAAAGTTAATTATCCCCTTAGAGCTTTTAGTAGGCGGGACAGACGCTTAAGTCGGATTATCTGAACACTCAAAGTCAATAAAACAGTGCAATTGCACTTTGAAAAATGTGCTCATATGACCAACCCCACATAATGTTCATCTCTTAGGAAAACATAGTCCTATAGCTCGGGAACACTGCCCAGAAACAGTTTCAACATTACTCTTTCCGTATTTTAACAATCGAGCTTTAAAATATGGCAGTTTTTTTGCTCTTTTTTCACAATGTAACATTCGTGACCATGTCAAGGCTGTCTCTATATAGTGGATATNTCACTCAAAGTCAATAAAACAGTGCAATTGCACTTTGAAAAATGTGCTCATATGACCAACCCCACATAATGTTCATCTCTTAGGAAAACATAGTCCCATAGCTCGGGAACACTGTCCAGAAACGGTTTCAACATTACTCTTTCCGTATTTTAACAATCGAGCTTTAAAATATGGCAGTTTTTTTGCCCTTTTTTCACAATGTAACATTCGTGACCATGTCAAGGCTGTCTCTATATAGTGGATAAATTATTTCTTCTTTTAGCTTAACTCAAAAACTTCTTTTTTTCTTGAAGCTTGTATATTTGTTTCACAAAACAAACCTTCAAATGAGCATGACATTTTATTTTTTTCATTTATAACTCACAACAATAATCAATGAAAAACAATAAACACGTAAAAATAGAAATTCAAACAAAATGACTAGAATTAAATATCAATATCTTTGATGTATAATGTTTTAACTTAAAAAAAAAATATATTTGTTTTTCATACAAATATTTAAGAGAAATAAAATGATTTGATTTCACAAATTTACATTGTCTTCTTCATTTTTGGACGAAAAAATTAAAAGGTAGGAAAAGTAACGTATGTTTCATACATCAAGTAATAATGCCTCAATTTTACAGAATGGTTTAAGTAATTCAGTCTATCAAGTCATTGATTTGCTTTACACTTATTGTTCATATTTAGATCAAAATACACCATTTTATATGTCAAATCACATTTTCTAACAATTCCTGGTGGTCTTATTCTTACTTTTTGAACATAAGTACACTATTTATGTTGAGTTATCCTTTTTATTATAATCACTGTGGAAGAAAAGAATAAACAAAAGTAATTTCACATTGTTAACAAACAAACCTGAGTTACTCAGAATCTTTTAAACTAACATGGTGATGGTGATGCATATAAAATCTCTCAATTATATACTTAGAAAGTCTGTAACGTATGTTACTTAATTTAGCAATGGATCTTTTCTGCATTAAATTGCCAACATGAAAATGATGTCACAGGAAAACATGACGAATTTCAATTAAACACTCCTTTGCTTAATGGAGGAAACATTAAACATAACCATCATAAAAACATCATAAAACCTGTTCCTTACTCCCTTCATAAAAATCAAAGTTACGTATGTTACACATGATGAAATATGATGCTCAATTATGCCTGAATTTACTCTCAACCAATTTCACATCCCGCTTACTGAATTTGAACGTTCTTTTTGTTTTTTCCTTTTTTCCGGGCTGCAGTATACTGTTGTCGTCGCAGACGTAAAATGCTGTTACCTGTCTCCTGAATTTGTATGCTGTTCGTTTTCTAATCTCTGCTGTGTCAATACCTTTACGTATTATATTAGATATTAGATTTCTGTTTATCTTTGCTGACTTGCTAAAATGTGAAATACATCTGTACTTTTTTAACAGTTTTCCAGCAAAACTACCATACAATTGCCTCTTCTTTGCATTGCTTGTTGTTACATGCTTGAATTTTGAAGCCTCAGCCGTGATGACGTTTGTTAGCAGTAGTTGTTTTCTAACTCTTTTGCCCCCAAAACCCTTTGATTTTAGAAAGAGTCTATTTGTATTACTTCTAGGTGTGTTTGGACATGCTGGTATATTCATCTTTCTTTTTATTCTCTGCATCTTCCTTTGAACGCATTTTACTTTCTTTTTTAGACCTTCATTTTCCTTTTTCAAAGATTTTAACTTGTCTCTGCTTTTTCTCAATGCTTTGCTTAGCCTCTTTCTGGGTCCGTTTCTACGATTCGGTAACCTTACTATGAGTCCAGTGCTATGGTCACTTTGCATTGTTTCATAACCACTGGTATCATTTGTGGACTCTACAGGGTTTGGAACGTCGATTGCAGCATTTTCAACGCTTTTCTTCTGCCTGCACTTTCTTACCCGCTCCTTTACTTCATCTCTTCTTTTTGACCTCTTTCTTTCTGTTAAAGTTCCTATTGGGACATAATTTCTCTTTTGCCGTGCCCTCTCTTTGGCAAGGTATGTTTCCCTCTCATTTCTTTTCTTCCTCTCCCTATAATTCTTTTGGATTTCTGCTCTTGAAAGCGGCATCTTGACCTAAAATGATAGAAGAAGAGATGATAGAAGAACATACGTTACCAGACCAACGGGAATGTATGTTGTACAATAACACTAAGCCATATCTTACTTTTAGCTTGTTTTTACTCATTTTCATGATAAGTATATGCAATACATCATTTTCTAACCAAATATCCAATATTTCAGGAAGAAAAAAAAAATATCGAAAAAAATATTGTTCAATTAATATTATTCTTAATGTATAAATTCTTCCTCATGCTTTCTCCCATTTAGTTCTTATAATTTTTCCTACTAATGGACTAANTTTGAGTGTGAAAGTAATCTAGTGAGACTCCCCGCGGGGATAAATCGATCTAAAATCTATGGGAATAGAGCCTTATAGTTAGGCCTAATTGGAAGTGGCAAATGGGCGGGCAGTTTAATGCAAGATGACGTTAAATAAATAAATTAAACTGACAGGCGCAAAACACAACAATACACTTTTAGAGCACAAACTCCTTTTCTGTTGTTTTATTTACAATCTAACTTGCTTATGCGCAAATCGTCAATTTTGTTGCTTTGTAAATTGGGTGTCACACACACACACGAACGCACACAAACCTAAGAATTTAAAAGGGTTATTTAAAGTGTAAGGTTTAGATACGTATTTCAGTAAACATACATGTATGATATTAATTGGCAATATACCCTACTACGTTTTGCTATGAACAAAAGGCAGAGAAAATATTTTTTCTATGATGCCGGCAGTTTAATTTTTCCACGTGATTTTGTTAAAGTTGTCCTAAATATGATGTACTAGTATTCAATAAGTTCAGTACCTGTTTACCAGTAGTGTTATCACACTAGAACATCAATTTATCATTAATAAAACCCTTGATCTTAATCAATTAAAATTTGTCCGTATATATGTTGTCTTCTTGAGAAGATAATATTCTATCCTTTTTCAAACGAGGCAAAAATTAAAAAAGTCATATGTATTTAAAGGTAACAGGATCAATTACAAGTGTTTAACACATGAAAAGTCATGTTTACGTTGTCGTCAGTGGCATGGCGGCTTGTTAATCTTGTAGATTTTGATCATCACTCCATTCCTGATCAATAATCTTTTTGATACAGTGTTTTTTAATCTCTTCACTTATTAATTAATTTATTTATTGGTCTATTTATTTAATTATTTATTTATTTATTTATTTATTTATCCGTGAGTAGTCAGCAGGCAGATCTTATCTGTGCTTACTTCATCACGTTACTGTCATGTGACAGTATCCTGAAATTTTAACTAGGTCAAGGCAGCTCCGCACTCCTACAGTCACAGGCTAATAAAACATATTCTTCTTACTTCCTTTATTATATTAAAGGAAAGTTTTTCTTGATATGCCCCCATTTTAATTTTAAAGTGTACATCAGTTTTATGGTGATGCTTTTAATTGTTTAATCAAAGGAAAAAAGAAATACCATCTGTTTAAACTGCGGGTCGTTAAATCGTCGGCTTTATCTCTGTTGAATAGAATACACGCTACTTCATCTGGAACAATATTAACTCCTGCAGACACAGTTTGTTTGCTTGACCTCTATATCTCACAGACTCTGTCAGTGACGAACTGTGCCTCGCTGGTTAATCCCGGGCAAATGCACCGTAATTTGTAAAACATCCACGCTTTCCGAGACCTGTCTGTATTAATACCAGCGACATACATGTACTGTAAGTGAACTGAAACTTTGAAGATGCAGAGAGTTAACTTGCCAGGGAGTGATTTGAATGTGTCCCCTATCTGTCTGGGCACCTGGCAGTTCAATGGCGGCCAGGTTGGTGGAGACAAAACTTGGGGAGCGATGTCCGTGGAGGTAATTACAAGCGATGCATTTTGATTTTAGTTGAGGTTTAACGTTAAATGTGAAAACCCCGGCCGGTACAGTACGTTAGTGCAGGGAATTTTCAAAATTCAGAATGTTTTTATTTGTCTAGTTTTTAGCAAGTGGAACCTGTCCTGTGGTGAGGAGTAATGATTCGAGGGGAATGCATTTAGAATAAAGTTATATGTAAACAAGCAGGATCGATCTATCTCTGCAGGGATTCTCGCTACTAGTGCACTCAAAGAAATAGCTAATATTGTCTGACACGCCCCCTTTGTGAAGCTAAGGGGTAATTAACATTATAGGTATGTGAAAACAAAACAACCACCTCTCCCCTGCTCCAAAAAGATATTAACCCCTTAGCTTCTGGAGGGTTGTGTCAGACAATTAAGCTGATTACAATGAATGCACTTTAGTGAGAATCCCCGCAGAGGTAGATCTACAAGCATGGGAAGGCCTAGGATTAAATGGGGGGGGAATGCCATTTTGCATCAATTCGCATGGGAGATATTGTAGATCATTAATTTATATAATATAAAAGATATGAAAAATATAATAGATAGATTGGACAACAATTTCACTGTAATATCAGGCCCGTAGCCAGCAATTTTAAAAGGGGGGTTCTTTTTCGAAAAAAGTGGACCTTTTACAATGAAACATTTGTGTACCTAGCTCAGATTTTACCCAGAATGGATCTTTTCCTGACAAAAAGGGTGGTTCTTTCGAAACCCCCTCCCCCCGAACCTCCCCTGGCTACAGGCCTGAATATAATGACACATTGATTGTAAACATTTCTTGATATTGTCTCAATTTGCTTTTTTAAACTATTTTTGGGAGGAGGCAGAGTGGAAAAGGCTAAGACAGGTGTCCTCTGAATCCCTCTCAAATTTGAATCGATCTACTATTGAACAAAAATGCAATCAGGGATATGTTATATTATTTACAAATTTTTACATATGACACATTTTTTGATTGAACAAATTGTGTAAATATATATTTTAAATATTTTACAGGAATCAAGGAAAATATGGGACAAAGCACTGGAGACTGGTATAAACTTTATAGACACTGCTGAGGTAAGATCAGAGAGTGATAACAGTCAGACTGTCAGTTAGGGTAGATGCATGTAGAAAAGTTTGATTTAATATTACTTTGATTATAAATTATGAAATTTATAGTTGCTTTTGGTCCGTATAATCATCTTGATTAAAGAGAATTGAGCACTTATACTTGTATCAGCAGCTTTTTGCCCCCCTCCCAAGTCCCTACATGTGCACACACACACGTGCAGGCATGTGCATGCATGCATGCACTTACACACACACACACACGCACACAGAGTCTGTGTGTCTCTCTCACACAATCATATAACAAAGTTATTTATTTCTTTGTTCCATGTAACAGGCATACCTGAACTCCCATTCTGTTCTGGGGCAGATAATGGACCCCAGTAAGAGAAGAGATATTGTACTAGCCTCCAAGGTGGGCAATGGAAAAGGCGCAAATAGTGCGCCATACACTGCTGAAGACATTGACCAAGCCGTTACGACCAGTCTAGAAAAGTTAAAGACAGATTATATTGATTTGTACCAGGTAAGTCACGAGGCACACGTGAATGCATGATTTTGATAACATGTACATGTTGTTGATCATAATGGTTATTATGATAAACAAGGCAGCAAAGCTGCCAAATGTACAGACCAAAAGCAGAAAATAACAAGACTTAGAAAAAGCACTCACAGAGTGCACACCACAGTCAAGGAAACACATTTATTATTGTTAGTAATTATGCATTAATTATACATACATTTATTATACATATAGAGTCAAGTAATTTGTGAGATAACACACTGTCATCCTTGCAATGTGCACAGTATATCAGCAAGCCTGGAACATCAGCAAGCTATTCACAGCATATATTGCCAGAGTGTATTATTTGAGATACATACTGTTAAGTACCAGCATTTCACAGAAAAATCAAATAAAACATGCATAGCAAAAAGCAAATCAATAATGGTATAAATAGTGGCTGATTGCAAATTATAGACCTTTTTTGTAAAATAAAAATGGAAAAAACTTGCAGGCTTGTCAAATGCTCAGAGAGCACAGGCTACAGGCTAAAGTAACTCAATTCTCATTATTAATAATTTAATTAATCAAATCTTAAATATAGAATCAGGTAAAGTGTGAGATAACACATTGTCATCTGAGTGATACACAGGTTATGCGAGAACACCCCGAGCGTCAGCTAGATGTTCGAGGCAAATATTGTGACAGGCAGGCAGTGTATTTATGGCAATACTGCGAGAAAGTACTTGCCTTTCACCAAAAAATTATCTTAAAACCAAATATAAGGCATAGAAAGATAAAAAATATGTTTACCTATGAAGCATCACACATAACCCTTCATCAGATTGTCTTGATTACTGTACATGACTTACTCCCTGTTGTGAGCTTTTCAGAAAGAGTTTGATTGAAAAAAACATTTTATCATACAATTATTATTGAGTAGAGCTGAAATGTGCAATACGACGCAATACAGCACAATACACTGGAAAAATGGAAGCGAGCGTGAGTAAACACTAGCAAAGGCCTGTAACATTAAAACAGGTTAATATGAAAGCGAGAAGTATTGCTGTATAATAAACTTTTACCAAACTTCAGCTGTTGGTACCATCAGCCTTACCAATAAAATGGTTGGGTTTTCCGCCATATTGAAAACCCAAGTGGAGCTATCAGCATCTATTGGTGTTAGTTTCAGAGTTTCTTTGTGACTTTATCAGCTGAATAAATTAATGTAAATTTTATTTTTGTGTACTTATCGCTTTTTTTTTCATATTTTTTTGTTTACATTTATCATAAGAAGCAGCTGATCAGACTGGATCTTAAATGAATCCATTCAATCCATAAATTTCAATTAATAGTGGATTGATTTTCTCTCTTTCATTTGTGTGAAAATATATAATATAATGAACTTTTTAAATGGGCTGGTGTATGACTGTTTTCATTGATAAATTTTACAATTTAAAGGGATAATGACTCTTCGTATGAGATCTATATTTCACAATAAAAACATTGTGAATAACTCATAGAAATATAATATATTCTGTTTTACCACAAAAACGGCAGTTAAAGCTATTATTCTGATATCTGAGCTTGTCTTTAGACCACGTGACCTCCATTGATGGCTATACTCTGCTAAAATCTCTTAAGAGATTTTAACAAAAAACCAAACTTTTTAGAAAAAAACCAGGGACTAACTTTGAATGTAAAAATGGATTCATTAACCATTGGTAAGTATGGGAAAATTGTTGTTTACTCCAGGAAAATTCATTTTTTGGCCAAAACGAAGAGTTATTATCCCTTTAAGATGAACATGGAGAAAATGATACCAGCAGTCTTGGGTAATCTAATTTTTTATTAGTTGAATTCAAATAACTTTAATAAGCCCATATTTACAAAAGCTCATGCTAATGCTAAATTTACTTCAAATTAAAGTGTAAGTTTTATGTGTATTTATAATTTTTGCTCAGGTAATTTCTGCTTTTTTAATTTTGTTTTTGGTGAAGGCTCATCCATATATTTAAGATGATTATTATCATTCTTTTTATTTTCAGTTTGCACGAGGGTTTAATTTGTGGCATTTGCTTTTCTAAGCTCTTTAAAATCCAGCAGTACTCAGTACATGGATGTTGTATTTCAATATTTTAAAAATGCATTGGAGAGGATTCAGATATCAAATTTGATATTCAAAATTTCCCCCAAAATGTATAAACCTATTAATGAACATATTAATTTTTGTCACAAACTCATCATTTACACCATTCATATTTCACTCACTACAAAAATTAAATTTAAGAGCAGCAATGATGAATGATGCATGTGCGCAATGTACATCAGGGTAGCAACTAGTTTTCTCAAATATCTCAGGGGTATAATTTTTTTATTTTATTATTTTCTCACTATTTATTCCTTTAATTTTTACTTGGATTTTGATATACATGCAATTAAAATGGATTTTGATATACAATTGAAGTCATTATATAATGTATTGCTTTAAGCTGAACAAGAGGATCCAAATTAATTTTCCAAAGATGTTTTACAAGCTTAAATCCTTGCAAATGCAAGCTGTCATAGGACAAAAATAAAACATGTTCCTCAGTTTGAATCTCATCACAGATACATTTCTAACATTTTAAGGTGACACAGGATCACTGCAAATTCATACTCTACCAATTCATGTCTACCATTGACTTTATTTACAGGGCGACTCCACTTACCCAACGAAATGAATTTTTTCCCAGGGAAATGAGGACATTTTATTCTTAGCGATAATATGACAATCCCTCTCTGCCCTTACATTCAACCTTTACAATAATTAAGGATGATTTATGGTTTATAACCACTCCGGTCAGGCATAATAATTAATTAATGTAACCAGCATCCATCTCCCAGCTTCTATCACAGTATCAACATTCAGAATATATATTTTGTTTATAAGAAGCTGTGGATCGGCACTGTGGATAGCTTTAATCAGCAGTTTTGGGTCAGGGGTTTTCAAACCCATAGAATGGTCGACCTAACATGCTCAAAATTAAATCCAAAGGAGACTTGGGAGAACATCTGTTCATTTTTGCCAAAATGCAGCAAAGGACAATTTTCTTTTACTATATAGCCAATTAGTTTATGAATCCATTCCCGCATTAATTAAAGGAGATTATTGGTGAGTGCATATAGCTGTTTAATTAAGGAGTTCATGTTATGTGTTGGCCAGCACAAATTCAATAATAATGCTTTAGCCACCCTTTTGGTGGTAAAATGGAATTTATTATTTCTATGAGCTGTTTAGAATGCATTTATTGAACAGTTCTTAAGTTCACTGCATAGCGGGTGGATTAAGAGAAAATTTTCTTTGAGATCATTAAACTGCATTTATGACAAATGATTTGGCTTATTTGCTCAGGCTAGTTAGTAGGTTTAGTTCATTAGCTCTTGGGCCTTTGCACACCCCCATTGTGACCAAGAAACAATGTGAAATTACTTTCATATGAATTTATTTGCTGGAGATAAATATTCTCAACTATGAAAAACTTCTTTTACATCTATAAATATCGAAGAGGCCATATAGCAAAAGTCCAAAGGTTCATTGGGCTAAAGGTTCAATAGACCAAATTAGTGCATGGATAAAGCATACATATATATAGTATACTGGCTATAAAGTAAATTAAGTTTGTCGGATGTGCATACAATTGATTTTTCAATACAATTAACCCTAGGACCTAGGAATCTTAAGATCAGTCACCAAAGCACAGGCAACTAAAAAGTAATAAGTACAGAGCAAACAAAACTGTTGTTACAATATATCATAAATCTTTGTATTGACAGTGACTCCACTATATACTACTACAATCTTCACCAGTGATTATACTCTGTTCAGTTCAGTTCAGTTCAAGCAACCAAAAAAAAAAATATATAAATTACAATCACTGCAAGACAAATTCTGAAGACATTAACCTAAAAAAAGCAGTTCAGAGACATCTGAAGTCTAAATCCAAAACACTGATAAGACCCCTACATGATAATTTTGCTGCATGCTGACTCCCTTGGAAGTGTTACTGTTCTATCTGCTCTCTTTCTCTTTCGTTGGTTAGGCTTTTTCCCATTGCATGTTCCTCCAATCAAATTCAACCCACAGGCAGAAACCATATTTCGCCTATCTTTGGGCATATTAAAAAAAAAACTTTGAGTGTGTTTTTTTCCTTGTCTCTGCACTTTTACCTGCCCATGCACACCTGTCGACACTGAATCTATCGAAATATGAGTCCAGTCGAAATTCCTCCCCTCCATGTCCAAATATTGTCCCTTGACAATTTCATAGAGTGAATTAACCAGAGTCATAGTATCTTGAGGTTGCCAATTTACTTTCATCTTGATAATGTGATTCACTGATTCGCAAATGTTGTTTGTCCATGCAGTGGGTAAATCTTGGTGTCTTTCTTTAGTTTTGAAGTTTTCCTGTAACAGCGGAAGGGTATTCTCTAAATAATGTTTTTCAAATTGGGGCAAATTTTCAATATTTCTTAGTACTGTCTGGCTCCTTTCTTCAAAAATGACTTGATTGTCTGAATATATTAGTCCATTTTGGCTAAATATCGCTGAAATTATTTTGTTTCTTTCTTTTTCGTTGGCCCCAGTTTTATCTTTCAAAAAATTTACAGCATTGTTTTTTATGTGTCGATGACAAGAAATGTGATCAGTGTTTTTGCCAAAGCCAAAGTTTGCACCTTTCTTGATTGCTTTTTCTTCATCACTTCCGATGACTAAATTTGGATTTTTTATTGGAATTTCCATTGCGATAGAATTGAAAAAGTTCCCAAATGTCTTCCAGTCTGATTGTCCATGGATAAGAATAGGTCCTAAAAATATGGGGTGATCTTGGGTCTTGGTTCTTATTAATCCTAGGTGCTTGTATGTCAAAGAAGTCACGTGAAGTTGTCCCATGTTGTATGTTTTGTCGACTCCCAAAACTGTAGTGCTGATGTTGGGAGCAGCGCAGCAGAATTGTGTGATGTCGGCGATCTGCTCATCCGTGTACAACATAACACAAGGGGATTTGCTCTTAATGTGATTTATACTATGAATAAAAGGGTGTTCATGGAGTGAATTGTGTAAGATAATGAAGTCTTTTGCTATATTAGAAGGTCCAGAAGTTGAAAAGCTAGCCTTTTTTCTTTCGTAACACTTTTTATTAGCAATCTGTTTCAAATTTGCTGGTCTTTTGTTTTCTGAGTCGGCTTCACGGACCAGCTTTTTGTAAAGTTCACGTGGTTTGGCATCACGTTCAGCACTTATGCAGTCCATGACATAGTCTGAAGTGCGGTAATAGGGGTTTACTGTGACTTTAGCATTACCGTGGACGCTACTGGACGCTACTATGTCCCAATGTATTCAACAAGGGCGATGGCTGGTTGCATATCTTCAATCATTGTTATCCTTCTTTTGTATTCAGGATTGCCTTTGGAACTAGTGTAGTATCTGTGAAGTTGTAATACTTGGGAAGGTTGGGGTTCTATGGAACCGCATGTCTTTTCTTATTTGTTTGTCTGTATACACAAAACAAATCATCTTTTTTAACGACAGTTATCCATTTAGACTCTACCTTGGCTTTGTAAGTTGTGGGTGAGTGGGTCCCACCCCAAGCCCTACAGTCGTCTATGAAATTACTGCTAAGGCCAGCGGCACGACGCTCTACATTTTTCTTGATATTTATTTTGAACATTACATTTTCCTTTTTACCATCTGGAATGCATGTAAGTATGTCTTCTGCTGAATGGAGTATTTCTAACACTTCTGCTTCTGTTACAAATTTCCTCCCTGTAAGCTTTTTTCCACACGACAATGGGTCAAGGTTTTCTTCTTCAGGTATATCACTGCTGTTAAGGGTGCATTCTTGGTCTAGATCAGATTCCTGTTCACTGCTAATGTCTACATCTATTATTGGTGATTCAATGTTCCGTATGTATCTCCAAGAGAAGAGAGAAATGGTTTGGACTGAATTCCTGCATAGTGTGGGGCATCTTAGTATTCGTCCACATCATGATGGCTTGTGGTAAGGCAGAGCTACTGACTCCTCTTCCAGCTACTTTTCCTGATAGGGGGGTTGCTCAAAATGCTCATTCAATACAGGGGGCAATATAACCTAAAAGAAAACAATAATAATTAATCAAAAATTGGACAAAAAATTTGCCCTATTTAAAACAACAACACAGGTGTGGGTTGGAAGCTTTTATTATAGCTTCGAAACTACGCTACGTCACTACATCTACAGTAATAAAATAATTAACAAAATCTCAATAATCCAGTCCTAGGGATGCACCCATCCATAGTTAGGTTAGAGTTTGGTATAGTGAGTAGAGATAGAAATAGGGTCTGGTACGATATATTGAAAAACCGAGTCACTTTTCCAGTCCCCTGTTGCTCTTATTATTGACAATGGCACTCCTGAAGACGCGAGCCATGTAGCCCCACCCCGTCGCAGGCTGTGGGTATTGTACATGGTTTCTGAAAGTCCAATGGTGGATAACGCAGTCTTCAAGAAAGACCTGAAAAATCGCTGACTAAGTTTCAATTCCTGTCCATTAAGAATCATGTTGAATAAAGGTGAGTCTGCCGATCAAGGTCCCGCCAACGCGAGGAAGGACAGTAATGCTGTAGTTGGGCACAACGGATTGTTTGTAAGTCTTGGGAGGGCGACGGTATGGGTTCTTTGTTGAAATTGAATTTTTTTTTGATTTCTTATTTTCAATGACAGTTCCAGACTTTTGGAATCTAACGTCACATCGTCAGATAGACTTACAGTCTTCCGGTCCAGTGCACGTTAAGTTGCTCACGCGAAGCAGATGGAAAAAACCCATGAGTAATGCGGCCCAGAAGCGACAATCTTGTGGTTGAGAAAAGTTTAACATGCTGTGGATTTTTAGTAGGTGCGCGGGTTGCAGAGGTAATTTTGAGGCCGTAGTGTCACCTTTACTTCTTTTGACGCCTTTCAACAGTGAAGTGATGGTCCAGTTTGAATTTAGTGGGTTGGGATATTCCTTATCCAAATGCAGAATTCTGATGATATTAAATACTGCTGTACTGTTTTGAATGACTTGTCCCTGGCTAGGAAAGCGACGTATCTGGCTATAGTAGTATTGCTGGCGGGTACTGACAGCATGCCGATTCTTTCACAAAAACTAACGAAGCTGCGCTCATGGGAAGCATATGTCCTCTTGGTAGCTGGGGCCCACCTCTGACCAATAAGTAGGGCTACCTCCCTGTCCAATTGCTCAGCGAAACCGTCCAATTGTTTATCTGCAGAAATAAATAGTTTAAGGTGAGGTGAGATACGTGGTTGTTTAGAAGATAATAATCTGGCATATAGTAACCACTCTTGCGGACGGATTGGATAAAGCAATTTATTTGACCCCTTTCATGAAGACGGCTCAAAGCGTCAGCTGTGATGTTAAATTTGTCGGAGAGGAACTTGGCTTCTATACTAAAATTAAATGAGATAGCAAGTGACGCAAGTTGTTCAAGCAAAGCAAAGGCTGTCTTTGATGGGGTAGAACCATTGTTAATAATGCTTGCTGTAGCAATATTGTCAGTTAAAACGAGCACTTTATGATTGGCCCATTTTCTATGCCATCGGTAAGCAGCCCATAAGATGATCGCAAGCTCCTTTACGTTGATGTGCTCATTTTCCGGGGGTGGCAAATCTAGTCCCCAAGCACAGTAAGTTCAGTCGCCCTCA